GCATGCTTGTTATACTGCTTAGTGACATACCACTATTTTGCAGTCAGTGATTTTTACAAAAATAATTGTTCCCATAGTGTGGTGTTGGGCCCAATAAACACGCAGACAACAGGTTCGGTATACAAGCAAGGTTTACTTGTGTGTAATAACTCACAGAACTCACAAAGATGGCAGCCCTGTCCCAGAATTCCATCTGTTGCTAAGTAACCCAACTGATGGCGGGAATATGGCCATGCAAAGTACGGTATATGTTTATACTATTAATGCTCAGACACAACACATAGCACCACCAATTAGATAAAATGGCATAGTATGTTGGCAAGTTTTCAACAAATCCAAAATCACTATAATTTTGTTTACTTTGCATGCGTACTATGGTTGTGTTTGAGGTTTTATCATTTTAATGGTGTGCATATTTTAATATATACAAGTACACTCACAAAAATACCCATAAAATATTAATTAAAGAATTTATTTATATAACCTTGACAAAAGAAATCTTTATTTTTTCTCATTATAATGATAACGTGTAAATCTTAATAAATGAGATTTAAAACTCACAACGGGTGGTTTAGCAATATTGGGGATTGTCAATTTGGCCATGGGGGCTACAGGTTTGTAAAAAACAATATTTTGTAGATATATTTTCATGTATACCATAGGGTCCATAGTATCTTTTGCTTACTGATTTTACTACACTGTGTACTTGGCAGTTTCCAGTCCTTGTATACTGTGTTCTTTTACACATAGAAATTGAGAATCACAATTACACGGAAATGAACACTAAACAAGACATGACATGTCGTGTCATAGCACCCTCTCAGAAAAAATTCAAAAACATATATTGAACTGGGTTTGTGTCAGAGTGAATTAATTCATTGTGAGCTGTATTAAAATTCTGTTATTAATTGTTCAGAATTGATGTGTTACAATTTTAGGGGGGGGGTAAAAAAATATTCATTTGGCTTTTCTGAGACAATTTATAACTTATTAAACATATAATGCGATGTGCACTTGTAAACAATTATAACCTGTCCCTGTACCAACTTTCAACAAAACTGGATGACACATATCTGAGAAAAAGCTGGTAACAGCTAGAAAAAGCTTGTTTTTTTTTAGATTTTTAAGGAAAAAAATGGCCTCCAAGCCGTAAAAAACAGGTCATGAATGACACTGCCTTCACTTGTTGTCATTTGAAAGTTGCAACATATAATTTGTCCAGTTTTTGGCATGGACATAAATTGGCAATCATGAATTCTATTGCATTTTCAAGTTTATAGCACTCTCCATCCTGGTCTCAGGAAGAACACCAGAGAGCAACAAACAAGTACAACAGGTAAAAAATGACATGTAAGTATGGAAATCAGATCTGCAAATATGTTGAAGAGTGAGTCTGTGTTGTGTCTGTTTGGATAAACTTCCTTGTACAACTGTATTCCTAATACAAGGACACTGTCAATCACAGAGCTGTTCCAGCGAAAAACTTCTGATATTTTAGACAGTAACAGGACAATGATACTGTTTGTCATACAAGTACAGTGTTCTCCCCAGGAATTTAAACCACTGACCAAAGCACATTTACACCCACATAATAAACAACATATTATTGAAATTATTATTATTTTTTTACCATTAATATTCTGTTTTTTGTAGATTAGTTTATTTTTTATTACTTCCTTATTAGTGTATTATTACTGTTTTACTTTTACTATTATCTGTACAATTGCCACTCTATCCGG